GACTCAATTATTTATATGTTTTAATAGTGACTCAATTAATTGTATCAAATAATTGCATCAATTGCATCAAGGATCTACGAATTTCAGCAACATATATAGTTTAATGTATACATATTACTGAAATTCGTAGATCCTTGATACAATTGATGCAATTATTTGATGCAATTAATTGAGTCACTATTAAAACATATAAATAATTAAATTATGGCACAATTATTTTTAAGGATTTTGGGAATTGAGTCAACAGCAAAATAATTTATACCACATATATAGTTTAATGCAAGGCTTACAAATGTGACCCATCTGCCTAAGCTCCTTAACACCACTCAAGAATATAGAAAAAGAAAATCCTAAACCTATATTATATCTTTAATGGTGTCTAGTTGCCTAGAGAATTTAGTTATCTAACTATATGAAAGTGCTGTAGTCACTATATACAGATTGGCCTCCAAGTCATAACTAGGATTGAAACAATATTACTTTCTAACTTTTTTATAATATGATAATCAATAATACAAAAGTGTATAATTGATTTGTTAAATTTCTAAAAATAGAAAAAATAAAATAGATTTTGTAAGATAAAAGTAAATTGTATTTTTTAGAGAAACAATAATAATCAAATTTTATGTCAGCATCTTAGAAAAAAATATATTAACATCAAGACTTTATTAATGATTTTAACAAGACAACAATCCAAAACATATGAGTTATCTTGCAAAATCCTATCTTAATTCAAACATGTTTGAAATAATTAATTGACCATTCAACAGTTCAAATTTAAATCTGATTAAAAATCAGTTAAACCTAATGAAATGAATGTCAAAAAAAAGATATCTTTATCATTTATTGTAATTAGTTTAAAGGGTTGTTACATATTGTTATGAATTTATTCATGTTTAAAGTACTTTTCTAGCTCTCAGCACACTTTACACATTTTCTTAACGAAGTTGTCGTCAGTTTTACATTACTTAAGCTTACATGAAAAAATGCCATCTATAAACATTGGGTCTAATTTTAATTTTTAAATAAAATAGATTTGACATCATCTTCCTGACGTTCGCATAGGCCAATGAATTAACAAGTTTCCTGAGTTCAGATTTTATTATATCAAAAATGCTTTCATCCATGTAGAGCGCATTCACCGATGCTAATTTCGATGGGGTCATAATCGTTAGCATTTCCTGCTGATAACCGTCCAATTTGAATAACTTGCCACATCCCTTGACCAGCCCTTGATACACAACACATAATGACTGCTTGAGAATTAGCAGCTTGTTGAATGGTATAGGTACATAATTCTTTGTCCGGTTGCGATTCATCATATAATCTAAAGGTTGGAGTACGAAAATGACCAATCGTAGGTGACTTCCATGAACTAAGAACAAAGTAAAGTTGTGTAACTTCAGGTGGAAGTTGATCAAGTTTAGCTACAATACGTTGGTGTCCTGATTTCAAAAAAATGGATTAATTTTTTATAAATATGTAAAATAACAATTAAAACTGAAAGATTCGGTCTGACCTCGCTTATTGGCATGATCCATCTCATCTCCAGAATGTTTCATGTGAGGGAAAGAAGGGTAATAAACAGATGCATAATCATATTTCCTCCAAAATGTATCACCCGCATATAGCAAGCAACTTCCATCAAGGTAATCTTGCGCTCCATTAGCTGGATACCCCCAATATAAATCAAATGTTAAATTCTTAATGGATTCTGCCCTTGTAATATTGTAAAGTACAACAATTAGTTGAATGTGGCTTCCTACGCCAATTTTATAATCCGATAGGTTTGCTCCGCGATTTTGGCATGTATCCTTTTTTTTTTTTTCAGTAGAAAAAAAAATTAGATTTCCAATGAAGCTTGAAGAATCAGCTAATTCTAACCTTAAAGAAATTAATCAAACCTGTAACTCCTCATTATTATATATCAACTTTTGCTTGGCTTGATTAACATTAAGCTTCTTGAATATGTTCGCTCTTAGAGCAATGACGGTTTTATTTTCTTCCAGTAACATAGTCACTTTCTGCCCATTCAACATTACAATATAAAATTCTCCAGTAGTAGAAGTAACGTCAACAGGTGTTAATTGTTGAACTCTTCCAACGCTGTCCACATCGATTTTAAAGGGTGCTTTTTCCCATGCTAAATTAAGTGCTTTCCATTCTTGAGTATTTAAAATTTGCGGACATTCCGGACACTTTGGTTGTTGTTTGTTAGGTTGTTCTTTAAGTTGAGCTATCAAACACTTTATAATGCATTCGAAAATTTTTATTAACAAAAACACGCTTTTAGAATTATTTTGTTCTAGCAATACCTACCCGTAAACATAAAGTGGATATATGTTGGCAACGTTCCGTGACTGTTGTATATGGAAACTCCTTAGAAAGCTTCTCGAGCTTGCACTGTCCACACTTCATTTTTGCAAAGAAAAATGAATATGATAAATATGCTCGTACGTGAATATAATGATTAAGGAGTTAAAAAGTATTTCTTTCCGAATGAAATTTATATTCTGCTTGTATATATTAATACACAATTACACATTTATAAAAAGATCTAATATTTATTGACATAAAATATTAATAAAATCAATTATAGTTATTTTTTATTTTTTTATTTTTTTTAAGATAGCTTTTAACCAGACTTTATTATTATAAGGGATTATTCATTACAGCAATTTTATAAAATATAAGGTTAATATATCTTTCTTTGCTAGAAAGAGTTTAATGAAAAACTAAAAAGATATGTGATATTTAATTATATAAAAGTATTATAGTCAAATATACAAAATTTTTTTCAAGTTATAATTATAATTTGATTTAATATATGATAAGCAAAGTTGTAAAATAGAAAAAAGATAAGTTAAATATTTTTATATATAAAGATATTGCAATTATTCTATACAAATTAGCCTTCAAGTTATATAAAAGATTTGATATATTTATTTTTCAAGTATAATAAAAATATTTAATAAATAAAAATATATTGAATAAAATTCTGAACTGATATTTAAATAATATCAAAATAATATTAACTATATATATAATAAAATTGAATTCAAACATTTTTTAAAAATTATATTATATTGGAATTATTAAATAATATAATAAATAATTCAAAATTATATTATAAATCAAATTTTTTTTTATGATAATAAAAAAACATATATAATATTAACTATATACAGTATATAGTAAAATTGAATTCAAATATTTTTTAAAACTTGTATTATATTAAAATTACTAAGTAACATATAATAAATAATTGGAAATCATATTTAATTTAGAATTATATTATAGATCAAATTTTCTTTTATAGTAATATGAAAACATATATAGTATCAACTATATATATAAAATTAAATTCAAATATTTTTTAAAAATTATAATATATTAAAATTACTAAATAATATAATTGAAAATTAAAAAAAACTCTTTCCTATTTCCTTTTCTATGCTTGAAAATTTTCTTTTTAAGAAACTTTTAAGTTTTTTACTTTTTTTCGTTCTTCCCTTTACTTTTTCTTTTCTATATATTTTTTTTTCTTTTTTTCTATTCTTTTCCTTCTTTTTATAAATTTTCTTTTACATATTTACTCTTCCCTTTTCTTTTTTTTTTTTCTTGCCAAAGTGGGATTTTTCCTTTTTTTTTGGAGATTTTTTTTTTCTAGGTCTCTCTCTTCTTTCAATATATTATTTCTTATCTTATCATTCCTCTGGCTAGTGGATTTCATTTTCTCAGGAACCATATAAGAAGTAGCAAAATTTTCATAAAACTTGGACTTTAAAAATTTTTTTCTTTTATGGCTTTTTAAAAAAAAGACAAACAGTTTACCTTTCTAAAAGATTGATATAGCTATCATTATTTAATTCAATGTTGTTTACTTGTTAATATTTAAACTAGATACATTTAAAAAACTGATGTACAACTATTATTATTCAAAAATATCCAAGAAGTTATACTCCACAGTATTTAAAATGATATGATAATCAATGTCAATGCAGTTAACAATAAGCTAGATTAATTTGCAGGTGTAATACTAGTAATTGAAGAATTTAATAGGATAATATATAAAGATTAAGAATTCTAGTTATTCTCACAATATGAGCTAGTGACAACAACAAAAATTTCTTGCTTACCCTTCAACAATATAAATTCCATTATATAAGATTAGGTATCAGTATTTTTAAGAAACACAAAACAAAACTTCATCTATGAAACACTTCTATTATACTTAAAAAATGTGTATATCAAATTCTTCTTATGACTTGGAGACAAACCTATATAAGTAATTGCAATGCCTTCATATAAAAAGATAATCATAACTTAACTACTCCTAATACTACTTCACCTACTGAATATTAAATCACATTTGAAAAGCAAGTATACTAGTTCTACTTATAACTTGGAGACAAACCTGTATAAAATAGCTATATATCTTTATATAATTAGATATTTAAATTAATTTTTAGTTAGCTAGACACTATTCAAAACTATAATATAAGTTTTAAATTTATTTTTACTGTATTTTTTGAGTAGTATTAAAGAGCTTAGAGATGTAGTCCTTCTATAAGTCTTATATTTAACTCTTCCTAGCAAAGAAAGATGTATATCATGCTAATCATATTATAAATTTTGTAATTGCAAGTCTAAAATTATAATAATAAAATAAAATATGATAGCCATTTGCTTCTTCAAAAAAAAAATAAGAAAATATATATAAGATTGATTAAAATAATAAAAAGTATTAAAATAAAATTAAGCAATTTTTTTATTTTCTATAATTATATTTAAAGACCTTAAGCTTATAACAAA